TACATCCACTTTTTGGATATTTTTTATTAACTTCTATTTTATTGCATTTTTATAAGAATGTTATTAATATGATATTGCTTATTTGGAATTTATTGAGACTTCCTTTGATACTTTACTTGTGTTCTAGTTTTGTAAATGTGATTGAAAATAATGCATATCCTGTATTTTTGGGCCCAGGAATAGATGTGTATTGTGTATATATATTAACTTAAACTTCATAATTGTGCTGTTTAATACTATATTTTCTTACATATCTGCTTTATCAGTTTCTGAGAGGGGTGTGTTAAAATTTCCTCTCTAGTAGTAAAGATTTGTCAAATTTCTTCTTCTGTCAAATTGCTTCATCTTTCAGAGCCTCATTTTCTTCATCTGTAAAATGAAATGAGAAATTGTGGGTAAAACAATAGATACTGGGATTGTAGTCACTCAGTCAGCGAAAGGTGCTCTTCCTTGGTCACCATATATATTATTAGGAAATCCAAGCCCTGCCCTCAAGATGGCTTAGTTTTGGAGGGTGAGGCATATCAACCCAAATAAAGCCCAAGCAAGAAATACTACATCAAGTTGACTAGGTCATATCACCTAGGCAGGACCAGTGATAATTAGGAGTCATCTTATTCACCAAGAAAAGCAGTTGCTGCTAGAATGAGCATGTCTTAGGGACTTTCTTCAATTCATCTAAGGGAGAATGGTTTGGGGGTAGAGTGAGCAATAACAGAACAAGGCAGGGGCCAGACCTCAGAATCCTTTCTTTAGCTAAGTGGGGCTCTAGGGCCCTAGAGCCTCAAGAAGTAGAAGAACACATGGCTACTGGTAAAATATTTAAAAATTCTAGACACTGCTGAGGGACATTTTCTTAAAATATGTTTCCAGAGGTTTTGGTACTTTTCCTATGAGAAATGGTATTTTCTGAGCAAGAGACTGTTGGAAAAGCTCTCTTTCTTCTTCCTGGGTCTAGTTTCAGGGAAGACTCCTGAGAAGAAACCAGATGATATGGTGACCCTCCACTCCCACCTGTACACTTTCAAAAGAAAGAGACGGCAAGACTTTTCAGGATATTTTCTTTCTTTCTTTCCTGCTTAAACACTTTCCTTTCTCCTTCTCTCTCTCCCTCCCTCACTCCCTTCCTTCTTGCCTGCCTGAGTTCCTTATTTTTCTTTCCGTTGTGCCTCAGATATGTTATGTGAGAACTCAATCTAAACTAAATGTGTTGCTCTTCACTCAGTTCAGTGTTCATTGCACAGTGTCTTGATGTCATAGTGCACATGACAAATCTAGGATTTAAGTAAAGTGAAATGATCACCCTGATGCATACTGGTAAAATAGTTAAACACACAGGCTCTGGATTCAGTCTTGAGTTTGAAATTCTGACTCTACCCCATATTGGCTGTGTATGTGTAACTGAGCACATCGCCACTTCTCTGATACTCCTTTCCTCATGTATAAAATCAGGATAAAATTAGGTTGTTCAACCCATAGAATGTGCCACACTAAGAGTGAAACTTCATGTAAACTATGGCTTTTGGATTATGATGTGTTGATGTAGGTTCTACAATTGCAACAACTGTACCTTTCTGTGGGTGGATGTTGGTAACATGGAATGTGTATGTAGGGGCAGAGACAATATGGGAACCTTCTGTACCTTCCCCTCAGTTTTGCTATGAGCCTAAAACTGCTCTAAAAACAAAGTCTTAATTTAAAAAAAATTAGATCAGGTTGTTGTGATGACTAAATGAGATAATCAGAGGATTTATCATAGTGTCTGGCATTTAATAGGTCCATAATAAATGCCAGCTCCCTACTTCTTTCTTAAAATCATATCTAGTTAACTCTGTCCTACTTTGAGCTCCACACAAACCCTCTAATGTACATTTATTTTTCATGGCTCACTATTACTGGGAAGGACAAATATAGATGTGACCCATTAACTTAAGGAATTTTAATTTAGTTAAGAATACAACACACATACACATACATCAAATCAATAGAAAGCAATTGACTTGCAAATGTTGAGTTATAATGCTGGGGGCAGAGGCATAGGAAAAGGTCAGACTAGAAGTAAATATTGGAGAGGAGGTAGAATATTGATAAAGGAAAGGGGATGGATTACTAACACACCTCTGGACTTTCCAGAGGGTTCAAAAGTAGACATATATGCCCATGGAAAAGCCCAAAGATGCAGTACACACAAATCCGTTATTCTTCCCATAAACAACATTTATGGAATGCCAACTTGGTCCCAAGTACTAGGTTACATAGTTCTGAGACACCTCAGTTTTCCCCTCCAAGGCATACAATCTAGTAGAGGAAGCAAGATATGGTTGTAAGAAAAGTGGAATAGAATAAGGCAGTATAGGAGTATAGGATGATTGTATGCTGCAATCATTGGTCCTAAAATTCCAAGGAAGGAGTAAACACTTTTGATTAGAAATATGAGGAGGAGGATTCTTCACTGATGAAAAGTAAGGGACTTGTAAATGAAGAAAGTTGTAAGTGCGAAGGGGAGGATATGAGATGCAGGGAAGGGAAGAGGAACTGTAAAAGATAAGGTCTGAGAGGTAAGATTTTAACTGTGGAGACCTTGTAAGTTAAGGGATTTGGACTTTATTCTGAGGACAATTAAGATCTATTGAAGAGTTTAAAGTAGAACAGTGATGTGGTCAGACTTCTGTTTAGAATAATCATAAGGCAGCAGTGTGGAGAATAAACCAGTCAGGGACAAGCCTGGAGGCAGTAAGACCAGTTAGGAGGATATTGCCATTGTCCAGGCAAATGATAAAATAGAGAAAAGCCTGCTCTAGGACAGAGGAATTCCCAATACGGTGTCAACATGCAAAATCCTCCTCTATGTCTGGCTGCCTTTAGACTTGAAGTGACTTCACTAGGTCACACTTGTTTAGATCTTACCCTAAGTAACTTGAACATAAGTTTTCAGTCAGGAAATAATCCCTTGATGACCCCTTGTGACGAAGGACTCAAAATTTGTTCGTTGTCTAGCCAATCTGAGGAATGTGAACTGTAGACAGAGAACAGAGTAAAGTTTTATAGAGGTCTTAACCTCCATAAAATATGACTTTTACCACAATTCTTAGCAACCATATGCTCAAAGCCATCTTGGGTCAATTAGGGAAATCAGAGCTCTGTTTGAAATTTACCCACCTATGGTGGTAAGGGATTGATCAGATATTAGTAAGACCTTCAAAGAAGGTATACAAGCCCTACCCAACCATCTCCCCATTTCCTTAATATCTTTTGTGTTTACCCAACTATCTCCCCATTTCATCAATATCTTTTGCTTCTAACTTTGCCCATTCTTCCAAACCAGCCCTCTAAGCTTCTAGATTCTTCTGTCTTAGTCTTTGATTCCCAGTTCTCATTCCCTTCATTACTCAGCCATTCCTACCACTCCTCACTCTTTATAGACTTTATTAAAACTACCCATCTCTTTCTAGATGCTCTCTTATGAACCAAATACATCCTGCTTCCATTGACTTGAGTCCCAGCCTCACAGCTTACATTTCTTGGTGTTTGTTAATAGGCATCCTAGTAATCCAGGAGGTGGTATAGCAAAGTGGAAAGAATATAAACTCTTTGGACAAGTAAGCCTGATTCAAATCCTGTATTCACCATTCATTAGCTGTATGACCTTGAGTGGGTTACTTAACCATTTTTAATTAATTAATATTTAATACTGTAATTAAATATTAAAATTATCCATAAAAGGGGAGCAACAATTGTACCTACATTACAGAGTTCTTGGGAGGATTATGAAATCACTGATTTAGCATTTAGCACATAGAAAAAACTCAATAAATGTCAATTTAAATAAAAAGTCATAATTCAGTTCCTTTTTGGTTGGGATCTTCTGTCTTCCCTAAATGAGTTGGAAGCTGCCAAAAGGTAAATAGCCATAGCTTTCTTCCTTGTGATTTGTCTCCACCCTGCATCTGGTATAGGGCTTTATATGCAATAGGCATTCAATTAATTTAGTGACCTGATTAGACATGATCCAAAGCCAGAAGTAGAAAATTGGCTATGGGAAAGGAAATAGGTCTTAGGGAGCTAAATCTATTACAAATTTTAGGGACCAGATTTACCAGAAAGGGAAAAAATTTTGAAACCCTGGACTCAAGATAAAGAGAGAAGGTGGCATCTTGGGGCACCTCGGGGGCTCAGCAGGCTAAGCGTCTGACTCTTGGTTTGGCTCGGGTCATGATCTTATGGGTTGTGAGATCGAGCCCCAAGTCAGGCTCCAGCTCAGCAGGGAGTCTGCTTGAAGATTTTCTCCCTCTGCCCCTCCCTTACTCACTCACATGCATGCTCTTTCTCCCAAATAAATAAATAAATCTTTTAAAGAGAGAGAGAGAGGCATCTTGCCTTTAGTGAAACAGTGTAATGTAATAGAAAGGGAGTTTCAGAGTCAGACAGTGCTGAATTGAAATTCAAGTTCCACTGCGTACAAGCTATGTGACTTTGGGCAAATAACCAAAGCTTTCAGGGTCTCAGATTCCTCATCTATAAAATGAAAATAATAATACTTGACTTCCAGAGTTATGAAGAGGATTCAAGGCATAATCTATTTAAAATTCCTAGAATAATGCCTGGGACATGGTGAGTGGCCAAATATATGTCACCTCCCTCTCCTCTTTACCACCCTTTCTTTACTGCATTTGACAACGTGGAAATCTGGGTGTGGGGAGAGAGAATTGTGAGGCCTTCTTGAGAATATCTCCAAATGTTTCCTTTACATCTTTATTCCTCAGACTGTAGATCATGGGGTTAAGCATGAGGATGACCACTGTGTAGAATACAGATACCAGCCTGTCTCTGCTTAGTAAGTACTCAGAGGATGGGCACAAGTAAATGAATGCCGTGGTTCCATAGTATAGGCTGACAGCAGTCAGGTGGGAAGCACAAGTGGAGAATGTCCTGTGTTTTCCCCGGGCTGAGGGGATTCTGATGATAGCCAAGAAGACACATGCATGAGACTAGGACAATTATCAGGGACACAGACACATTAAGCCACCACAGGCAAAGAGGAGAAGTTGGAGTATCTGTGTGTCAGAGCAAGAGAGTTTTAAAAGGGGAGGGATATCACAGAAATAGTGAGTGATGGCATGGGATTTACAGAAGGTCAGATAAAAAGTTGTGCTCATGAGGACCACCATGTTCATTAGGCCCACTGCATAGCTGGCAGCCACTAGCTGCAAACAGAACCTTGGGGACATGATGATATGGTAAAGCAGAGGGTTGCAGATGCCCACATAGCAGTCATAGGCCATGGAAGCCAGGAGGAAGAACTCAGTGACAGCAAAGATCACAAAGCAGCTTGTCTGTACCACACAACCAGAGAAGGAGATTGTTTGGCAACCAGAGAAAAACCCCATCAACATTTTTGGAACTGTGACTGAAGAATAACAGAAGTCAGTAAAAGATAGGCTGCTGAGGAAGAAATACATGGGAGTGTGGAGTCGAGGGCTGAACACAATGATGGCAAGGAGGCCCAGGTTTCTCACCATTGTGATTGCATAGATTAGGAAGAAGAGGGCAAAAAATATAGGCTGAAGCTGTGGATCATCAGTGAGGCCCTCAAGGAAGAATTCACTCAACTCGCTGCCGTTGCCTGCACCCATTGGGCCACTACAGGTCTGCAAAGGGAACATGCATGACAATAGTGAGACATGTACAGCTCAAGTCCTTAAACAGAGACAAGCGGAGTCTGGCCCTGGCTACCTAGGACATAACATACTGGTGTGTCACCTATGGCCTCATTCTGACTTACTCATTTCTGCCATCGTCCAACCTATTGGATATAAGTTTTAAAGGCATGAGGATGGAATCTGGAGCCTGAAGAATGGGTCTGAATCTCAGTCTTGCCCCTATTGTCTCTGTGATCTTGGGCTAGTATCTTAACCTGAGTCTTCTCTGTAAATGGGGATAAAATGCCAATCTTGTAAGACTGGTTGTAAAAACTAAAAGTGATGGTGGATGTATGTACAATGTCTAGCAAGGCATGAGAAGAGTAGGTACTTAATGAATTCTAATTTCCTTCCTCCTTCTACACCCTTCTTTTTAACACAGAACATGTTCTCAGCCAAAGCTTAACCTGAGCATAAAGTCCAGGACAGAAATCTTAGATACGGGAGCAACTCTAGAAACTTATTAGTTTTTTCATTATCAGTTGTGTGTTTGAGGCACAGCAGGGGATGACTGGAAAGGGAATATCAAACAATATAATATAGAGGTGAGAGGGCTCTAGGGTCAATTATATGTGGGTTAGAATCCAATTCTATGACATGCTAGCTGTGTGACCTTGGGTTTAACCTATCTGAGACTCAGTTTCCTTATCTTTAAGACAAGAGTACCAAATATTTCTTACTTCATTAATTTACTGTGAAGATTAAATAAGATAATTCATGTAAAGCACTTAGCACACAATAAGCATGTGGTAAATACTATCATTATGATTGGGGGAATCTCCTGGTAGGTCTGTTCAAAGGACACACAAGCGTCTTTTAGAGTGTCCCACTTGCCTCCTGCAAAGTATCCCTTCCTAACTGAGCTCCTGTTACTAATCATTGCGTTGTAATTCTCCAGTGTATATGTTGCAGCAGCAAAAAGGGTAAGAGTTACTACTTTTATCTAAGATTTAAAGATGGAGAAACCCAGAAACCAGGGCCTCTAAAGGGAAAGCAATTTGCCCATAGTTTCCCAGAAATTTGGTGTAAGTGCTAGAACTGGGACCCAGGTGTCCTGTCTACAGTATTCCTCCCACTTGGGAGAGATAACAGCCTCTGACCCTTCCTTTTTCAGAAACATGGCATCCATGTCCTTATCAGAACATAGGGGGTTACTTTGCCAATAGCTCTTTGAGAAATCAGAATGTTTAATTCTTCTTAGGGCCATTTCTATCTTTTCTCTCAATCAGGGAGATTGCCAATGTCTAGCTGTATATTTTTTCAGTTGAGATATTTAATTAATTAATTAATTTATTTATTTATTATGTTCAGTTAGCCAGCATATAGTACATCATAAGTTTTTGATGTAGTGTTCAACAACTCATTAGTTGCTTATAACACCCAGTGCTCATCACAACACGTGCCCTCCTTAATACCCATCACCCGGTTACCCCATACTTCCTTCTCTTCTGTAACCCTCAGTTTGTCTAACTGTATATTATTTTAATATTGTTTTTCCTGTTAAGAGCTGGGATAGTGAAGGACAATATATAGCATTGCACAGAGGATTTACATCATTAAATTTAGAGTCAGAACACTTGGGTTTGAATTCTGATTCTGTATTATTTTAGCTCTATAGGCTTCAGCAAGTCCTTTCTGAGTCATAGGATTTTTATCTAGAAAATGGGAACAATAACACTTGTTTTTCTGATCTCACGGGATTGCTGCAAAGATCCAATGAAAGTACGTAGGAAAATACTTGTAAAGTGTGAATATAGTCAGGGTCAATACTCAGAAAGCATGCAATGGGAAAATCAAATCAAATTCTAAAAACCTGTATGACAATTTTTAAATTGCTCCTCCCTAAAAGCTGCCCTGGCACCTGCCAGTCCACGTTGGTTTTCACAACACTGACCTCCATCTTCTTGTGGGCTCCAAATCAGACCCTGAAAGAGAAAACTAGATTAGCCTCTGACAAATTGTAAGTAAAAGTCTGATGCTCTTCTGCCGCTCTCAGGCTGTGGCTGCCTGCTTATAACTGGTGTTTCACTAGAGTCACCTTTATGGCCATCTTTGGGAACTGAAGTTTCCACAATATATAGTATTGGTTGTTAAGTTTTTATATTAATACAATTTATATCATATTTTATATTATTATTTTTATATTATACTGACTAAATAGCTACCAATAATAAAGTACCTAATAAGTGCCACACATTTGCTGGATGATTAATATGAGTTATTTTACTTAATCTTCTTAACAACCCTAGGAAATAACTACTATTATCATTCCCATCTTACAAACCAGGCAACTGAGGCTGGGAGCACTCCAATGCTTTGCTCAAGATCTCATTGCTGGTTAAATGGCAGAATCTATATTTAAATATAGGTCTACAATATTCTAATGCTACTGTTGTATCCATTCTGTTTTTTCAAGATGTAGAGTCATACAATTAAAGATTATTAAAGTTTTTTCAAGGGATTTATAAACCTATTCTTTGTTATCATGCTAATCTTGGAAATAATCAAAATGATTCCTCTTAATTTTACAGATGAAGAATCCAAGCTACAAAGAAGTTAAGTACATTGTTCTTGGGCATGCATGCATTTATTTATTCAACTAATATTCACTGGGCGCTTGGTGTGTTCCAGGCAATGTGATAAGCACTAGGGGTAATCTCATGGACTTTTCAATCTAAAGGGAGGGATGAACAGTAAACAAACAAACAAATAAACCAAAAATTTTAATACAATTATGAAGAAAATAATACAAGCTAATGAAATAGAGCGCAAGGTTTGGAGGGGCAACATTAGATAGAGTGGAAGGGAAAGCCTCTCTGAGTTGACATTAAGATCTGGAATCTGAATGGAGTGGAGCTAGCCATACAAAGATCCAGAGTACACACACAGACACTTAGTGACATTATCAGGAATAGGACCCAGTTCCCTTAAATTCTACCCAGGGCTGCTGTCTCCAATTGGAAGTAAGGTTAAGTAGAAGCTAACTAGGAATGACTAGATAAATGGGACATTCAAACTTTTATCTAGAAGCATCCCTGTCCTTTATCACCCACCTTTCTTCTTTGAATGTCTCTAGAAGTCACAAGTTTTCACCAGTCACTTTTCTGTTTCTGTACTCATCGTGTACTTCAGGCCAGCATCAGTTGTTGGGCTCTTTCCAGATGTTCCCTTAACAGGTACAGAAAACTCATGTGCCCACAACAGTGAAGCCTCTGGAACTAAGCTTCAAGTTATACTCCCTTCCCAACTCCCTTTTCAAGCTTGGCCATTTCTGTGTAATTGGCAGAATCATCAATATAGCAAAGTTTCTGCCTTCTTGACTGTTCTCCCGAGATGCTGAAAAAAGTAAGCCCAGGGGCTGAGCAGCTGTGACATCCAAAATGGCCATTCGCAATAGAGTATTTTCACTGACTCATACTGAGAGTTTGGGGACCTGTAGTCACAACTGAGATGCTTTGGGAACAACTGGAAGAGTTAAATTGACTATGAGATAGATAGAGTTATAAACTTTTTATGTAAAATACATTCTTAGTCATATTAAAAAGTCTTAGCCACAATTAAAATACCAGTTGTTTCCCCAAACATAAGGATTCTAGGAATTATGGATAAATGGCCAATACAGAAGATGGTAGTAAGAATGTATTTCTCATTTTATGATCTGTCATATCATCTTGTTTACTCAACCCTTTATCCTGATTATAAACTATAAATCACTTTTAAACATCAACAAATTATTTAATTAGTTTTTATGTTGTCAATAAAGTCTCTGATTGCCATTCAGTGTTCTAATAAAATACTCTTGTACCTGAGATGTATGTGGTGGCCAGCTGCCTTGTACCATACTTTTTCATTTTTTATTAAACCAGGCATGAGTTGTGAAAGACTTTGTTTCTATGCATTTGTTTTATTTTTTCCATTCAATAAATGTTTATCAAACATCTGTCATGTCCTGTCATTGTGTTAGGAGCTAGAAATACAAAATCAATAGAAAATTAATAATATCCCTAGATACATTCCATCCCCATCCCTAATACATCAAACATGTGAATGTGCTCACATACATACACACAGTCTCTCATTTAGAAAGCAAAAACAGCCTCAATCTCCTTTGGTGCTGGGTCATTAGCAGCTTTTATAGAAAATACTAAGTTATTATGTATTTTAAGGGCTAATGCTGTTGATTTTAAAGCAAGGAATTTGTTTAAAAAGTAGACTTTATAAAGTCTTTTGTGGGCAGATTCATTTAATTCTGTTGCTTGGCTATGCAGAATTTTGTAGTGACTTTAAACAGAGAAATTATTCTCTTTTTTTTTCAAGTTAAATTGTGGTACATTAGGTGATATTTGAACCAGTTTATGAACTTCTGCTATGGCATGATGGGCTGACTCTACGGATTGTAGAACACTGTCCCCAAATTTAATTATCTTGGGGCACCATCACTGCATAGGATAAAATGAGCCATTTTGTTCATCACAACTGCAGGCTTTGCTGAAATGGAGGTTACAGGATAACAACTTAAAGGCTAACTCATTAATGCTCAGGGATGGATGAGGTATTGTGCCAGCAGACCAAACTGGTGCCCAAATGTTTTCATCTAGAGACCTGTATCTCTTTCCCTATGTTGTGATATATTAATGGGGATGTCTTTATCCATTGTCACTGCCTGAATTGAATTTGAATTGACATTTGAATAATGTAGATGTAATGCCTGCTGGGCATTCAGCCCTGTGCACTATTAATTCTCAAACTCCAAAGATTTCTCAGTGACTAGAGCAAAATTCTGGTGATGCCGTAAACTGTCTAATTTGTAAGGATTTAAATGATGGCATCAGTGCAGTCCCTGCTTTTCTTCTCATAGCTGTTTACTAGTGAGTACCGTGTCATTCTAAACTATTTGATGGGGGCACTGGAGTAAAATAGTCTTCCAAATTGTT